AAGGACAAACGATGAACTAGTTGCCCGTGCCAGCTACTTGATTCGCTAACCTTTTGACATGGTGAACAAACATGTTCCCAATGTCCCTAGCAATCAAACAACATTGCTTAATAATTAAATCTACATACGGAAGATCCAACAACAGCGAATTAAAATTGAACATCATGAATCACGTCGTCGACAACAACAGTAAGTGGCGTATAGAAAGCATCAACTCGATTTAGGCGCGCTTTCCTGATATTGTACGCCTCCCAAGGGTCGTTTGACTTTTTCCGAAGCCACTTTCGCTCCTCCAGAATCTTCATGGCTACATCGACAACATAAGGGGAACACTGCTCCACCTTAATTGTCTTTAGAGTGTCAATATATCTAACTTCAAATAAGATCGCTTCCAAACGATAACAACGTCTTAGGATTAGACAACTTAATTTTGGGAAATTGGTGCTCTTGACCACCCATTTCTGGAGATTTGTAGCCTCAATGAGCAACACTTCTAAGTTATAAAATTCTTCAAATGATCCCCACACTAGGTCAGAGAAGGCGTTTTCTAGTTTGAGCACCTTTAAAGCTCTCAATACCCTTGGAAACTTCATTATAGGGAGATTAGTCCCGCTCAACCTCAACTTCTTCAGCCTTGTAGAAAACACTAGTTGCTCTAGATGGGTCATACTGTTTTCTGGGATTATAACGGTAAGTGTCTCGAGTTTCGACAAATACCTAATATAATCAAAATTGATGGTGGGGTTTCTGCAAGGTCCAGGGCTGCTACATGGCTCATCAAAGGCACCTTTATAGTAAACCTTGAGATATTCTAAGTTTGGGAACTTCTTATACACCTCTTCAGTGAAATGAGTTGGACTAACCCACGATAATGTTTGTAATTGCTCAATATTCCTGTTTGGAGGATCCACCTCATAGTAATTGCCAAGTTCAAGATGCCTTAAATGTGGTAACTCCCAAATTCTGAATGACAAATGGCCAGTTTTAAGTAGTTGTGGTTCACCACCACAAACAATAATTGTCTGCAAATTCTGATTGTTTGACACTACATCGTCTAAACCCTCAAACCACGGTGGTACAGATAGGTATCTTAGAAAAACTAAATCTCTTAAATGCAATGGCACTATTTCGAAGATTTGAAGTGCACTCAAATCTACAATTCTTAATAGCTTGAAAGATACCGACTTTCCAACATCTCCTTGAAAGAAAGAAAAGAGAGCAAGGGTTATTTGTAGTAAAGAGCGCATAATAATCCAACCTATGCGAGTATAAACTTAACCAACGACATGAATTCACAAACATGTCTAATGGCAATCCTAAATCTTTTCGAGTATACGCCGCACATAGGAGACCTCTTTTTTGTTTCTCTCGTACAGAAGTCCCATAAGGAGCTATGTATCCAGCAAACATTAGTCATCTTATGTTCCCATTTGCTGATTGAGACCAGACCACTATGAACAAGACCATCTAAATAGCAGTAACCTTCCTCTTCTAAATCCTTGACCAATTGCCTCCCAAATCCCTTACACTCCATTTGCCTCACAAATCCCTCAGCAATCCATATCCTAATAAGCCTTTTCACATTGATTTTAAAGCCTTTTGGATAGACTGCAAAATGTAAAAAACAAACTTTCAAATGTTGGGGCAATTGATTGTAGGATAGAGTAAGCTTACTTAAGTGCTCGGCATCATTGTATAGAGGTCCCAATGTCTCGACTTCCTTTTCAATCTTCATCCATTCCTTTAAAATGTAATCACATTTAGAAAAATGCTCTGCAACCGCAACAATTGACCGTGGCAACCTTCGCATTCCTTCACAACATGTTTGGCGATTTCTACAAATTTTGGTGCTCTTAGCTCTTTGGGAGAGAGTTTGTTGCAAAATAGATCCCAACTTCTGTTTGGATCCAATATGCACATTTTATGCACATTGCCAAATGTGGCAGCATCGCAACCAACAGCATTGAACTGAGTTGTCAGCAATATACGTATTTGGTATGAAGCATTAGGAAGACATGTTAGGATATCACCCAAAACTCGGGTGTTTGGTATATTATCCAAAACAAGAAAATACATATGCCTACCTCCCAAGTGCTTGTGTAATTTCTCTTTGATTAGTTGAGAAAGAGTGTTTCCCTTGTACTCTTGAGGCACAGTAACCCAAGCTCGAATGTAACCTTCTGCCATATCTGAGCCATAGACTCTTTTAGCCAAAGTAGTCTTGCCAATGCCTGGCAATCCTACAATTGAAACTATGTTTTTTGGCTCAAAGGTATAGAATAACATCTTTTTTACCGCATTGAAGGCATCTTCATTAAATTGATCCTCAAGATTTGGAGAGCATGGCAAGGATGGTCCATCCAACACAACATTCTCAGGTTTCAACCAATGAATGGATGGATGAGTTTCACTGGTCATGGCTGCTTCGGGTTCACTGCTTCTGCTGTTGTTAATAATCTTGGACAGCTCTTCTGCATCTTCTGCAGCTTTTCGCAAGCTTTGATGGAGTTCCCCACGAGCTTTGGCTTGACACTTTCCGTCTTGGGCTAGAAGAAAGCTTCTTAGTTGTATCTCAATGTCATCTTCAGCTTTGAGCGCAAAGTCTCTGATTTTGATTGCCAGATGACGGGCTGGAGCACCACCGTTGTTGTATTCCTTCTCCAGAAAGGCTTGCAAAGAAGAAAGCTTCTCAAACAGAGAATTCAATGGCTTTTCAGCATGAAGAGACACTCTGTGGTTTGGTTTTCGGAACTCAAGGTCGATTGTTGCCATTAGAGAAGCCAATGCAACACAAGCCATCTCTCTTTCTATGTTTTTCTCTCACACGTACTCTCTCTGACTGATATGTTTCTGAGTAATTGATGAGAATGTATATATGTTTGAAGGGCCATTAATATGGAGCTAGCTGGATTCTCATCGTGCATGTACATGCTTGAATTTTTACAATTTTTTTAATGCAATCATACAACTCAGCAAAACTGTTAAGCACATGAAAGTCCATACTGAATTAAAAGTCAACTTACTGCCCAAATTATTGAGTGAACAGGATTAGGAATGATATCTTTTTGCAAACACAATTTCATGTATGACCGTTTATAATATTAATGTAGACCTGTCAAAATAGGCTTAGCCCGCTACGCTAGCCCGTCCTGCCAAAAAGACGGGATGGCCATTGAATTTTATTGCCCCTTTTTTGGTGGGCTTTTTAGCCCGGCCGTCACTCGAAATGGCGGGCTTTGGAGGGCTGACGAGGCCGAGAAATCCGCCTACTATGTATACATTATAAATATATAGGGAAAGATTCAGGTGCAAGTTAGACTTCCTGTGCGGTTGTGCGAAGGACGCACCTTAAACATTAAAATGGCGCACCTTAAGTATACAAACCACGCACTTAAGCACACAAACAAAACATGTTAAGAACACAAATCACGCACTTCAAACACACAACAAAGAACCTTAAGAACACAAACCACGCACCTAAGGTTTTAAAATGGTTCACCAAGTTTCACACAACTTACGCACCTTAAGCATACAAATTACGCACCTTAAGGAAAACAATACACCTTAAGAAGAAAACTTACTCACCTTAAGTTTTAACAACTACCCACATTAAGCACAAAACTCGCGCACCTTAAGCACAAAACCACGCACCTTAAGCATAAAACCCACGCACCTTAAGCACAAAACCCACGCACCTTAAGCACAAAACTCACGCACCATAAGTTTCAACAACTACTCACATTAAGTACACAACCACGCACCTTAAGCACAAAACTCACGCACATAAAGCACAAAACCCACGCACCTTAAGCACAAAAACCACGCACCTTAAATTTGACATAGATGCAAAAATTACCAAATTGTCACCTCATTTTTTAAATTTTTTTTGGTAATCTTGAACGTTGATTTAAGCAAAATCAATGGCTCTCCTCTCATCGCACGACTGCGCCTGGGCGCGACAACCGCACCTGAACCTATATATACATACATACATACATACATATACACACACACACACACACACACACACACACACACACACACACACACATATATATATATATATATATATTTATTTATTTATTTAGTTATTTATTTTTTTAATTATTTATTTGTTTATTTATATTGAAAAATGTATTAGTAAGTAGTACAGTGTTTTTTCCACGTCTGAAGAAGTTGAGGTTGAGCTTGGTATGTGTATCATATCATCTTGTTTCTATTCTCTTCTATTATATTTGATGTGAGCCAAATTGTACATGTTTTTAGTGATAGTTTGATTATATTTGTTGGGTTTAAGTTCAAGAAAATGTCACAATAATTGCATATTTCCTTGTTTTCTAATTTTGATATTGTTTACACTGGTTTTGAATGTTTTATGGTGTTTATTAGTGTTTTTGGAACCATTGTAGGTCAAGTGCAAAAGCAAGGGAAATTTCAGACGAGTTTGGAGCCGAAATGGACCGGATGGTGCTGAAACGCAAGATTCGATGCGTCTTGCCAATGGCTCGACATGTCCAAATATTCCAGAAGCCAATCCGATCGGAGCTCAGCAAACTCGACGCATCGAGAAGTTCCAGTAGCGATTCGGGAGTCCAGCCAAATGCTCGATGCGTCGAGAAGTTGCAGTGCCGAGCTGTGAAATACGATGCCACAGACTCGACACGTCGAGCTACCAATCGACGCATCGAGTCTGATATTTGGCAGCTTCTAAATTTGGGCGGAAAGCTTCCTATTTTGCCCCGGTTTGGTTTCCGCTATAAAACCCCGCCTCGGTTCACCCTAGAGAGAATTATTCAGACTTTTGGAGACAAGAAAGAGGAGAATTGAGATCTACAAGTTGTCTTTGGAAGCAAGAAGAAAGCTAGGGAGATTTGGGAAAATCACTTCGTTTATTCTTGTACTCTTTTAGATTATTTGTAAACTCTTTATTATAATTGCTATGTATAATTTAGCCATGCTTGGCTAAATTCCATTAGAGATTTATGGGTAAAAAGTGTTTATGAACTATGTGCATGTTTATCATATTCTTCAATATATTATTATTTGGGTTATAAGTTATGTTGCAATTGTGATTATATTGTTGTTGCTAGTAGCTCAAGGCCCGAATTACTTGTTTCATAGCTTTATTTATGTCAGAACGGGAGTTAGGCATAATTGAGAGTACACACAATTACACTTAACTGTTGCACCTTTGGAGAGGGCATATATGTTAGGGAGTTTGATTCATGATTATTGTACATCGGGAGATGGTAATAGTTAGGAGTTTATTATGAATGCTTGTTCTTATATTGTTGGGTGTTTATATAACATGAGTGAATATTCACTAGGGTTAGAGATTACAGGAGTAACTCTATACCATATTTGCATTCTCACACTTGTTTAAACCCCAGTTTTAATATTGTTCATAAGGTTGTCACTAGCTAGGTGATTAAATACTTGAATTCCAGGAATCTCATTCTCTCTCTATTGTTTTCACAAACCTGCTACTTTTTTAATTATTTTAATCAACCATCCATGATAATCATTAGGATTAGCTTCACAAGAATAGATTAGTAGCTAGTGCTTGATACGCCCCACTTCCCTGTGGATCGATAACTCGTTACTCCGAGTAATTATTTGTTTGAGCATTATACTGCAATCAATATTATTTTTGTTTTATTTGCCAAATCTATTTAAAATATCTTCTTCTCATATGGTTTCTTGATAACTGCAGACACATGAGACCATGATAACTGCAAACACATGAGATGTTGGTTAATATGTTATGTGTCTGCCGTTGACATATTTTATACATGCAGTTAATATTTCACTACACCAAATAAGGCATTTAGCGACTATTTTTTTTTTTAACGTTTAGCGGCGGTTACAAACCGCCACTATTGTGTTTAGCGGCAGTTATTCAATCGTGTCTAAATAGTGTGTTGCGAAGTATTTAGTGATGGTTTTCTACAATCGCGGGAATTAATGAAAAACTTATTTCGCGGTGTTTTGAATGCATTTAGCCGCGGTTACATAACCAGTGTTACAATGAGGTACTTTTCTTTTGCTTTTAGCGGCGGTTTTGAAACCACCGCTAAAATGAGGTAATTTTCTTTTTCTTTTAGCGGCAGATACAAAACTGCCACTAAAATGAGGTACTTTTCTTTTGCTTTTAGAGGCGGTTTTGTAACCGCCGCTAAATAAATCTATTTATTTGTTTCTTTAAATTTTAGTGGCGGCCATTAAGTGTCGCTAAATGTTTTTCTTTATTTATTTTTAAAAATTTTAGTGGCGGTTACTAAGTGGTGTTAAATAATTTTTTGTTTTCATAATTAAGTGTCGCTAAATATTTTATAATTACATTATTATATTTTTATAATTATTATTTAAATCTTTATATTGCAATCATAAATAAACTCTATGTACACATTAATTGGAACAAAATTCAATTGTAACTTATATTTGTCAAATAATTGTAACAAAAAAACAAAGAATCTTTATATACTAGAAGCTAATAGTTCTGAGAAAAAAGAGCAACAACATTAAATTGTTTCAGGATCCATTGATTCATCTGCAACAATGAGAGAGAGGTTTCTAAGAAGATAGTACAAGAATACTTATTAATCCATTGACATTCAAAAGGAAACCAAAAGGCCAAATTTCATAAGAAGATGATCAACATTGTCTAAATCCACATCAAGTTAAAGTGGCCTTCGGAAAGTCCCAGTCTCCCTTTGTTTATTCCATCTTTCAACCTGAAAGGAACCCAATTGGACGTAAGATTAAAATATAGTGTATGCACAAGTAGGAATAATACAGAATATATAAAAGAAAATACTCATGGAACACATAACATGAACGACAACACAACTAGTAAAACAAACCTAGGTGGTTATAATTGGTTTGGCAGTCTAGCAAGTTCATAGAGCTAACAGGAGCTGAGGCATTTTAAGTAAAAGAAGGAAAAGAGAGAGCCAAAAAAAGAAGAGTAAAAGACATTTTTGGTCCTAGACTTATAGTGGCTTGGACAATTTTAGTCCTTTATAAAAAAAATTGCCATTTTATGGACAGAGTTATTGTGGCGAGGACATTTTTGGTCCTCTGTCTATATTTCTGTTAGATAACCATATGAGAGAGGGGAAATTACGTCAATTTAGGCTATCTCCTTCTATCTATTATATCTATGTGTGTTTGGCGCTTCGATTCTCCTTTTATCTATTTGATTAGTAACATGTTTGGCGGCTTCGATTCTCCGGCAATTTCTTCGTACAACTGCAACTTGGACTCTCCGACTCCTTCGAATTATGACCGAGAAGAAAACAAAACACACATAGATATAATAGATAGAAGGAGATAGCCTAAATTGACGTAATTACCCCTCTCTCAGACGGTTATCTAACAGAAATATAGACGGAGGACCAAAAATGTCCTCGCCACAATAACTTTGTCCATAAAATGGCAATTTTTTTTATAAAGGACTAAAATTGTCCAAGCCACTATAAATTTAGGACCAAAAATGTCTTTTACTCAAAAAAGAAATAGAGTCACAAAGATTAAATCTACTTTTTCTTCATTTGGACATGAGACAACTTTCATTATGCCAATACAAAATTTGGTGCATGTCCATACAAAATTTTAGTATACTCAGTTTAGACACACCATTAGAAATTCAGCTACCAATTAAAATAAATCATGAAACTACTTACAGTTGCCTCTAATAAAAAATATTATAGTAATCTGATTGCATATCATGTAGAAGATTATCCATTAACATGATGACTAGAGGATGAATTTTGCTTTCCACTCCCTTGTGAAAGATT